AAACCGCTGATCCATGCGGTCAACAGGGTGAAGAAGAATGTGTGGTGGCGGCGGCGGGCGCGAAGCTCGAGGTACTGCGCGCGAAGGGAGGCCTCAAGGATGAGAAGGTTCAGGTAGATCATGGACGGAGAGCTCGGGGTATGGATCAACGGGTCGCCTTGCTTGCCAGAGTCGGGGACGACGCCGGTGGTGCCGACGGCGGCCTTGGGCTCTTTGCCCGGTGGCGGGGCGCCCTTGACCAGCGAGTCAAGCTCGTCAGCCATGGTCACGGTAGGGAGACCTGTTGTCACTCGGGGCTTTAAAGCTTTTCGGTGGTGATGCGGCGGTCAGGTCGCTTCGGGACGGAGAATTGAGAATTGGAGGGGCCTCGGCAGCCGCAGTCAGCAGCGGTCTGCAGACATGCGCGGTGGTCGGGGGGCGGGGGATGATGATGCGAAGCTGCAGGTGGACGGAGCGCAGGTGTGCAGAAAGGGGTGAGCAACAAGCAAATAAAGCTGCTTTAGCTGCACTGCCCTTTGGAGGTGAGAGCTTTCTGCGTGTGTGCGTTCTGCTGGTGTTCGAGAAGCAAGGGCGGAACTGGAATCTGTCGGTGGTCAGATGTCAATCCAGGCCGGCCGGGTGTGCTTCAGCTGGCGGGCTGGGGGTGGAAATTCCGCTCCGCCTGGCGGCAGGTGTGGACAGTGGGACGTCATAGGAAAGAGAGGCGGGGTGGCCCGAGCACGGGGGTGTTAGGACCAGTGCGATAAGCGATTGCGATTGCGATAAGGCTTGTTGGGGAGCTGACCTCAGTGAGAGCTTGACACGTGCAAATCGGTTGAAGATTTCCATTGAAGATGGACAGGGCTTGATTTAATATGAAGCAGTCGACCTGAAGAGCCAAGGCTAGTGAGCTGCTCAGGGATATTATGGAGTACGGGTAACAGAGTACAAGGTTGCTCGGCTCTGGCTTGTCAGCAACAGACTCATTTCCACCGTTTTCCCACACAATTTGCAAAGACCCTGAGTGCATGTTGATTGATGCCTCATTATGCGAGATTGAGAAACGCTGCACAAAGAAGAGATGTTTCCTCGTCCATGCTTTGTTTTTGAGCCTCAGAGTTGAAACACACTCGACAAGCTAGAGAAGGAAGTTTCGTCTCTTCTTCGACTGAACTCAATTACTTTCTTCATGCAGGTTTCATGCAAATATTGACAGCATACTTACCTTGCACCAGATGCTGTGTACGGAATACAGTCCAAATGGGCATGATCTGGCCACGATTCCAAAGCCACGATGCTATCTCAATTGACAGCCCCATTCAGATTGTTGCCTACATCGAGTAAGCGTCTCTATGATTGCGTAAGATCCTGGAGGGAAATTGCACCGTCAGCTTCAGGCTTCAGCCTTGAATGCATCATCTGACTGGGCCATCTACGAATTCCTTCAAGGTACTAGTCAGTAGTCAGCAACTTAGCCACATGTCCACCGGGAAGTCGGAGGCTTGTTTTGTCTCTTACCGCCGACACGGCTCAATGCAACAGCTGCCCCCACTCTTCTACCCGCCAAACTCCGAGTGCTAAGTCCATGAACCGATCCGCATCCCGCTTCTGGGGGGCACGTTGTTTTCCCCTTGGTCACTGGTGCCACCTACGGATACACAGTAGTCTTTCTCATGTTCCTCACACAATGACCCCTGTCGCTCAACTGCTCAACAAGCTTGTCGGTTTTTTACGGAGCCGTTGACATTCCGGCCGGGGCACCTGGCTTGTCTCTCATCGAACCCTCCCACCTTTTTGCCTACCGTCATCTTTTGTCCACCCCTCTGCCACATCTCCGCGTCACCACTGCCCTGCACAACGGTGTCTCCGTCCTTCTTTTTTGTTACTGCACCTGCCTAGACTTAGGAGGATTGCTAACCCGGCGTTAACTGCATCTATCTATCCCGCTCCGTATAGACTGCAGCCCCCCGGTCCGCATTCTTTGCTGACTGATGAGTCGTCGCAAGTTTCAGAACATCCGCGCTCCGGACACACACCTCCGCCGCCCGCGGCCACACTGAACTGACGCCTTACGCTACCCGTACTTTATTTTGCGACTTTTGTATATAGACGGTTGGCCCCCGTCGCCACCACCCACAGCAACATCCGGCATGATACACCAACAAACTGCTTCTACTGTAGTGAACGGGTCGCGACTCAAATTTGCTTCCTCACTAATTACATCGTCCTCTGCAACTGTCAAATCTCCTGCACCCAGCATACGGGCCTCTTCTGAAGACTCCGTCCCTCGCCGATCCCACCAAACCATGGCTGCCGCTGCTGCACCGCCCGCCGCTCCCAATGCGACAACTCGTCCTCCGGGAACCTACTTCCCGTTGGGATACAAAGATGCCGTCTATCAATGGGTAAGCAGATCAAGAAAGTCCCCGAGATCGCGGGGTAATGTTGCTAACAAAAAGTCCGCAGTGGACAAGTGTAACTCCGCAAATGGCCGAACGCAACGTCCTGTCACACATCCCTTACCTCAAAGAAGCCCGCGAAAACGCCTCCCTCGACTCGACCAAGCCAGACCCCTTTGGCCAGCGCGTATGGAAGTCCCAAATGGTCGAGCTCTCCGGCAAGAACCGCGCTCTCAACGAATACTCCATCGAGCGCGTCGGCGAGGAGGTCGACAACAATCTCGTCATCGTCCACGGCTACGGCGCCGGCCTCGGCTTCTTCTACAAGAACTTTGAGCCCCTCTCCCGCCCGAAAGGATGGAAGCTCTACGCCCTCGACATGCTCGGCATGGGCAACTCCACGAGGCCGCCTTTCAAGGTCACCGCCAAGGACCAGGAGGGCAAGACCCGCGAGGCCGAGGCCTGGTTCATCGACGCCCTCGAGGAGTGGCGCAAGAAGCGCAACATTGACAAGTTCACACTCATCGGCCACTCCCTCGGCGGATACCTCTCCATCGCCTACGCGCTCAAGTACCCCGGCCATCTCAAGAAGCTCATCCTCGCCTCGCCCGTCGGAATCCCCGAAGACCCGTACGCGGTCAACGCAGCCATGCCCGAGCCCGAAGAATCGACCCTCCAGAACGAATTCACACAGGACCAAAACGAAGTCACCAGCAACGGCCCCAACACAGCCGCGTCACGAAACACCAAACCCAACGCACCCAAGCGTCCCCTCCCAGGCTGGCTCGTCTGGCTCTGGGACGCAAACGTCTCTCCCTTCAGCATCGTCCGCTTCACCGGCCCGCTCGGCCCCCGCTTCGTCTCCGGCTGGACCTCCCGCCGCTTCAACCACCTGCCCCAAGAAGAGTCCCAGGCGCTGCACGACTACGCCTTCTCCATCTTCCGCCAGCGCGGCAGCGGCGAGTATGCCCTGCCGTACATCCTCGCCCCCGGCGCCTTCGCCCGCAGCCCCATGGTCAACAGGATAGACGGCGTCGGCCGTCAGGTCATTGAGAAGAGCACAGGCGAGAAGCTCAAGGAGACGGGCGTCCCCATCGTCATGATGTACGGCGAGAACGACTGGATGGACAAGAAGGGCGGCGTCGCGGCGGCCGAGAAGCTGAAGCAGGCTAGGTTGCAGGCGCTGCTCAACGGCACCGAAGAAGAGAAGAGGAGGGAGAACGGCTCGGCAAAGGTTATCGAGGTCTCAAAGGCGGGTCACCACCTTTACCTCGATAACTCCGAGGAGTTCAACGATTACATCCTCAAAGAGATGGAGGATGTTCAGAAGAGCAAGCTATGAGGTTTTGGTTGCGTATATTTCAACAGGGGCGCGTGGTTGGAGAAAAGATGGGCAAGCTTCACAGCCTTGCCAGACAGGAGCATGTTTTTTTGCGGCGTTTTTCGGGGGTTGCATTGCATGACAACAGATCGAGCCTGTATACGGCCGACGGGAATATCCAGTGGGAGCGTTTGGCTTGGTATAATAGAGCCTGTTCAACCGGCTTATCTAGATGAAGAATACAATTACATGACTATACATTCAAACATTGTTTCAACTTGCATTGTATGCACGCCTTTCAGAATGATAGCATCAGCCATGTCTTTTTGTCTTTATCCAAGTCCTCAAAAAGAGATCGGGACCGGCTCCCGCACTTGATCGGCCCCACGTACACCGGCCGGCCGGACATTTGCGCAACGTCGGCCGATGTAAACCACTTATAGAGGGAAGAACATGACGAAGAAACTCACTTGCTTTGTAGGGAAACATGGATATATGCCGAGGACGAGCTTCGCAACATATTTCCAATTGATGCTTATGTTCATGCTATCATGTCTTTGACATGCTCAAGGCTCACAACTTCTAACACTTGATATAAGCCTCGACTTCCTCGAGCAACCTACCCCTATCCTCGAAAACGTCATACCATTCTTAATAGATCCAAACAAGAAGCGGCATCTTTGACAACCTCTTCCGTTTCACACGTGATCCAACGCCGCCAAACTGCCATAATGAGCCTCGAAACCTCTCCCCGTCTCTCACGATCGTCGTGCCGACCCCGTGATCCGCCCCGTCGTCTCAACTTCTCAACTCACGTGGTTCCCTAGGCAAGCGAGGCTCAGAATCGCTTTTTCGAATTCTTCAATAGCTGCGTGACCGTTCATCTAATATTGTTTGCTCGCTTAAGGGCGTCTAATGGGCGGCCTCTGAATAGCCGGTCGAACGACCAAACGACCGCCCTCTCCCCCTTTTCCATATAAAACCCCCCCATTCACCCACTCGTCGCGATACTTTCACTTTTGTTTTCCTGGTCATCATTTTCTTCACTCAAAACACTCTTACCAATTCCATCAAGTTCGTTCTCGTCATTCACTCACGTTAGTCAAGCCAGTATCTGGGATACTCCTTGACTAGCAAACACCCTTCACTTCATTTTCCGCGGCGTCGTGACTCCAAGTCATTCAGAGCAAACATCACGATCAGTCACCAGCCTCGCAGCCTTGCTTCACACAACTTCGCCCAAACTCAAAGCCCTCATAGCTTCCAAGATCCGTCGCAGAACGCTGCTCAACACCTTCATCATGTCTGGCCCCTACAGCCAGTTCTTGGATCTCGACAACACCCGGGATCCATACGCCTTCGAGGATCCAAACATCTTCCAGGACCCAATCCTCAACGACATGTCCCTCTTTGGACCCGATGAGTACCAGCAGCCATACAACCCCCCTCAGTCCCAGTACCAGTCGCTATACAGCAACAACTTCCAGCAGTCGAACTACCAGTCTCCATACAGCAACCCCCCTTACCAGCAACCCATGAACAACGCCTACATCCAACATCCTCCTCCTCCCCCTCCTCCTCCTCAACAGACGCCCGCCGGCACCGCAGAACCCCCCTCCAAACGCCTCCGATCTCGTCACCCAAAGCCCATCCAAATCCCCCCTCGCTCAACGACACCCGACGGCGAACCCCCCTACCACCTAAC